AGAACGAAGGTCAAAGAAGGGGAAAATTGCATAGTTGGGAGACAGGCGGACCTCCTGAGGGTGCTGACCGACGCGCAATTGGCAGCGAAAGATTTGACCTCGGCGATCTAGCATGGCTCACTCTTGGCGCGGTTGGCCGGTGTACGCCCACCGACATCTAATCACTCGCCGCAGAGTGATTAGATAGCAGAGAGAGCGTAGTTGAAGAGGGCACAGCGATGAGAGTCGCATCAATGCTCAAATCAACGGGCAAGGAAGGGGTCCCATTTCTCGGGTTCTGGGCCGTTTCTCATGGTTTTCCTTCTTTCGTGTACCACTCACCATCCCTAGGTTAATTTGAAATGGGTTGCTTTTCCATCGTGAATTCGTCCTTTAAGTGGTCCTTAAAGTGGCTCGTTATGTTCAGTATTTCAGGCTCCGTTGAGGATTTTTGCCCGGATACCGCCGAGAGTACTCCTTTGCTGCATTTTCACCTTTAAACGACTGTAGCTCCTCTAAGAGACAATTTTGCACAGAAATGAAAGCGGGTTCGGAACTCAGAAGGTTCATGCTCCGCAAAACTGTAAAAATGTATAGCAAATCTCGACTTCAATGATAATATGCTTATGAATTTGTCGCAGAAAACACTGAAACGCCCCTTTTCGGAATCCTCTTAATTTTTTCTGAATCGGGGTTACTCCTAGGAGGACTGTGGATGAAGCGCGCGCAACTGATTGGCCCCACGGAGCGCGCCATGTACTTCACATCCCTTCACATCCATGGACTCATTTGAAAGGTTGAGTATCCGTCGGAACGGATGACCACTGTCATTGGAATCTTTTGGCCAAGCTTGCACAGGATCGATTACTCCTTGATGTTTGTATCTTTGCAGTCTATCGACAGTGGTGAATCTACATACTGCATCGACCTGGCCCGAGCAGTTCCTTCCAGCGTGCCAAAGACAATCCTCCCATCCGTTGACCTGTCGAGGGAAAAATCGCTCCACATCCCAAACCATTTCCTGGTCATAGCCTGGGACGACGAGTTGCGTGTTGAAGAAGGGGAATGCGTTTAACATAAATGGAGGATGACCTTAAAAGAAGTGAGAGGGGCACTTTCGCGGCGAAGAGGGCGCCCTTAGCGACGTTACAGAGCTTCATCCGTCCCTCTTAGCCCTTCGTCCCTCTGGCCTCTGGTCGGCCACCTCAGCTGCTAGACCCCCGCCGTTGCACACTGGTCAGAGGAGAGGGTACTCGCTGTCGACGTCGACACCGATAAGACTCTCCAACAAGACGGCAAACGGAAGACGAAGGTCCCTTTCTACGGAATTTAGGCGGTATCCTTCATTTTTCTCCACTATTGACATCTCTGCTATTCCATCAGGTGACCCTTCTTACAACCCTTCCTTTTCAAAAGCATAGCTAAAGCCCCTACTACTGTTGTTGCACTTTTCGCCTTCATTCAGAGAGCCGCATAGAAGACTTGCAGGACAGATTTGAAATCAGGATGCGTGCATATAATGCTATGCATCCCATATTGATTGACCATGACAACCTGAGAAGCTTTGTTCATTAGGCCGTTGGTGAATTTTGTCACCAACGGCCGAAGGAGAATTGAATTTTGGAATGCTGGTGTCCGGCACGCTGTCATACATTGTCTCTCGCCTGTCCTCTCTCCTCTTTTGATCAGCTGACTTAGAA